TATTGGATTTTTTTTCCTTTGACGTCTAATGGAGATATTCTTTAAATAAAATGCTAAAAGAAATCACTCGGTGCACCAATGTCTATGAACACTCAACAACCTGCTCGTTTAGATGATATGTTTTAGTCTAACTAGACCGTGTGACGTAGTGGATTTTTTTCCTTTGACGTCATATGGAATAAATTCTTTAAATGCTAAAACAACTCGGTATAGTAATGCTTATTAAACCTCGTAATGTGACTCGCATTTTAAAAAAGACATAATAGATTTAGAACTAATCTAGATTTTTTACACTAGATCTAGATTTTTTACACTAGAGCTAGATTTTTTACACTAGATCTAGATTTTTTTTCTTACACGAGCTAGATTTTTAAAACTAGATTTAGATTTAAGTTCTAATTAAAATCATTATAGAATCTAAATCTAGAATTTCTTGGTCTAGTTTAGAATGTTTGTTGCTTTACATGTTTCGGATGTTCCTTCAGAGTTGTAGTCCAAACCTCCCATAGGACGACGGGGGATGGGAGCGGGCAGGGTTTGAACCTGGGACCATCGATGAATCCAAACGACAGTCCAGCGCGCAAACCGCACTACCAGACAGCCATGATTTAGACTAGATCAATATCTATCATTTTAATTTCTAGGCTTAAAGTGTAGATTTTTTTTCTAAAGTCTAGATTGTCAATATGTCAATATTGCAATGTTATAAAATACTAAAACTAATCTACTATTTTAATATTTAGATTTTGCAATTAGTCTATTAATTGATTATCTAGTGTTTTTTTTATATAAATCTTATCTAAATTACATCTACATAATCCCAAATATATATTTTAGATCTAGATCTAGTAGATATAGATATTGAGAGTGCTAAATTAGTACTTTAATTTAGGTAGATCTACATCCTCATTCTAGTTCCCTTTAAATGAAAATGCTCAATACCAAAAGATTATCTAAAATCGCTCTTCTGACACAACCGGTGGTTGTCATTCCATAATGTGTAGGTATATTATCAATAGTGGGCTATTAGTTTGTAACCAGTTTGTCATTAGATTAAGAGCAATGCCTGGTCGCGCAGAACTGATTATCTCTACGGTCTCGGTTTCATACCCTGCTCGATGCCATCCTCAGTCGACCAGCGAATATGCGGATCCGACAGTGATCCGTCTCCCACGGGGGCCGCCTCTGAGTTTGTGTGGCAACACAAACTCTCTTTGTAATCTTGTTTTCCAGTGAAGTAGATCTTGTGCTGATACGGTAGAGAGTGCTTCAACTAAAGTTTGCTGAAAGTTGGCTAAAAATAGCATAGAAAGAGTCAATTTAAAATGATTTTGAGTATCCTTCGAGTAGTCAAGAGCAAAAGTTGCATGCAAGTGATAGTAAAAAGGAATAAGTCAGTGGCGTCAACAGCTTTTTTCTGCTTTTTCTCTGTACTAAAAAAATGAGTAAACTTGAAAGAAGTTTTTAAAAATGCAGTCTATTCGTTGACTTTCGACTTAGTCTCTGATGTCTATTAGTCTTCCGAAAATACACACCTCCCTTGACATTACTTATGGATGGCTACCAGGTTTTGCAGTGTGTGAGTTGAACTGTTGTTCGGTCGTCTTCATGGTTCCGGGATCTTGCCCTACCCGCAGCCATCTCCCGGCGTCCTGCGGGGAGGTTTGAACTGGAAAGTAAATAATCTTCAACTCTGACGGAAAATCTGAACTGAAACATATAAATTTTTTTAACAAAGAATACATTAATTATGCAGAGCAGTTCAATTGATCCGGAACTATTTGGTTGAAATCCAGACTTCAGGATGGGATTCACAAATTAATTTAGTAATAATCTTAATAAGTCTCTGTATCACTCAAACACTGCACGTGGATTTTACGTGGCTGTTATCCTATAATTTACTTGTTTATTTTAGTCTATTTCTATTTTTAATGTTGACATTGCCCTACCAGGCGGAGATTTTTAAACTTAAAAAACTTTAGAAATTAGTTTTCCCTATTAGTCTTAATCTTTGTTTGTACCATTCCTGTGATATAATCAATATCTGATGTAAAATTAGATTAAATAACCAAAGAAATTAATGGTTTCCATTCAACAATTTACGATAGTTGTATTGATATCATTTAGTGTACATAAGTGAATTAATTAAATTCTACTTCTAGTGGAGATTACCCAGTTTTAACTTTAACTGAAGGAATGAGTGCTATACCCAAAGGACTTCTCCGAGCATTTCTTGATGCTAGTTCCAGGTTTGTATCAGATGTTTCTAACAAATTAATTCTAGACAATAGAAAATTAAATCCAAGTTATACCGTTTTTCAAATACTGCTTTCACAATGTCTAGATCAGAGTTTCTCAATCGGTGGGTGGCGATTGCCTATATAGTAGGGCGTGGACGTGCGCAGGTTGTCTTTTTTTTTTAAGAGCCTAATAGCCTAACAATTATTTTAAATATAAATGACTGAATTTAAAGACGTCTTTATAGCAAGACTTTTAGACCGTTTTCAAAGAAGACGTCTGCAACGATTGACTTTCAAACGTTTTTGTGTAGAAGACGTTTCTGCAACGCGATTCTTCCGGTCTTTCTCGTGTCAGAAAAGGATAATTTTTTTTCCATCGTTCTAATGTGGCCAAAAACAGGAAGTTGATTTTAAAAGGATCAGGCCAATTAAAGATGTTCTTGTGCTACATGCTTCTAAAACACCAGCGTCTGTTACGCTTCATTATCGCACTCTTCCTAAGTTTTATAGGATGTACATTCTTTTTACAATAATGAAATTACCCTGTAGATTGAAGGAGAGGGTTTTCGTGATGTTTAAAACGTAGGAACTATATGATGCAGGGACTTCGGCACGGATTGCAACATTTCTCCAGACCCACTACCTGGCTAATTGGGGAGTGTTGATGACGCATTTTATATGAGGTTGGTGATGCGTCAGGAGTCAAGCTTTGAGAAACGCTGGTCTATATTCTTGTGTAAAATACATCTTTGGATTCTCGATTTTAATGTAGTCTTGTTGACGCATTGCATCGCATTGTTGTTTCAAATTCAGCAATCATCTATATTTATGAATAGGCCTTCATTATTAAATTGTATTTTTATGAATATATCTATAATTGTTTATTCAAATGAGGAAAACATATATTTCGAATTTTGACCAGACAAAATAGTTACGACTCATCAACCCATTTTCTTTTAATGGTTTATACTCCAAAGACATCAAGTGACATTGAACAGAAAGCTTCTCTCTATAGTACGGAATGATGCCGTTGGATATCGCCTGGTCTTTCAAAAAACTCAGACCCAAGATGGAGTGACAACACTGCTGGTATGATTTTGTCTGCTAAAAAAGAAAAACTGCGCCTCCAATAGATATAATTTTCCAAATAAACTATAAATCTAGATCTACTTTAAATAGATTTGTGGGAAGGAATATAAAATTAAGAAGCCCATCTTTGTTACTTATAATGTTACGAATACACGATTTTTAAAACATTCATTTAGGCCTTCATGTATAAACATTAGGCCTACCACTTAGAAAGTTCATCTGTCATAGTATTACAGGACAGGCGTTAGGCATAGGCAAAACTAAACAGCCGTCTAGGGCCTCCGATTGCTGGGGGCCTTGCATAGGACTGAAAAAATTTTTTAGAGAAGAAATTGTGAAGCTCGTGCCCATACCTATTATTTGGAGTACACTCTAGGTTTTTTAGGGTTTTAATAAATTGCGTAATTTTAGTTTTCCACCGTTTACTTTCTCTATTTTTTGGGGAGGACACCAAATTCACTTCGGCTATTTTTTTTTTCTTTACTCTTTGAACTGGTGACTCTGCAATTAGATCTAGTTGCGTTTGTCTGTTTCTAACTACAGGACTCATTTGATGTTGTGTGTGCTAAAAAGATAATTCTGGCGTTACCAAGGCTCGCTCTTAGTCAAATCGAATGGAATCCACTCAGGTACAAAGGCTTATTAACAAACAGACATGCTTTGTAAATATGTTGTATATAAACTTATCTGCGCCAAGAATAAATTTACAATAAACTTTTATAAGTATTTTATTTTTTTCTGACATGCTTCTCTACAATGTTTCCAACAGAGATGACAGAGTTAATGAAGCGATCAACGCTGTTCGTGACGTTGAAGTCGTCAAAGTGTTTTTAACATTCCCAACACGATGGTGGATGGACAGCTCCACTTACCCAGCGCGTGTGACCTATTCTGATCTCTCCTTCAGCCAGTTCTACGACTGGGGTCGGTCCAACGTCACTGGGCATTACATCATGTTGGCCAGCTACGCGGACGAGACGAGGGCCAAGTTACTGGCTTCCCTGAACGCCAAAGGGAACCTGGCAAGTGGATCGGCCGGAGGACCTCACAGAGTCACCAAAGATCTGGTTGATAGTCTGCTAGATGACATCACCAAGGCGTACGGAACTGACCGCAGATACATCCCTGAACCAATCTCTGCCATGGCCCAGTTCTGGGGAAGCTATCCTTTCGGTGGGGGGTGGGTCGTGTGGAAGGCCGGGTACCGCTACGATGACGTCATCTCTACTGTCCAGCGACCATCATTGACAGACCAGATATTTTGTGTTGGGGCTGACCACTCCAGGGGTTACCATGTTGGCTGGTCAGAAGGGGCGTATGAAACAGTGGACAGAGTTATGGATATGTACTTTTTGTAAAGATACGTGTCTTAATTTGGTAAATGGTCACCAGTAATTAAAAATTATTGTTAAAAAAATTGTATTTCTGAAGTTTGTATTGTCAAATGAAAAGTTCACATAACACTTTGCATAGTATTCCTTCTTCCTATTAAATCGAAGTGAATTATTAATCAATACTTCATTTGTATCAACACCAGCAGTGCAACCCTTATTAAATAGAAGGTTGAAATTATTAATGTGATATTAGGTTAGGCTTTTTTTTTTTTTTACTATTGATTTTTAATGTGAGTGAATGTCTATCCAACAAACATAAAAATTACAAAACAAAAAAATGCATTAAAAACAGTTCATTTATTTGTTTGTCATATAGTAGCAGCAGATATTTGGATAGTCACACTTTCTATCAAGCTCATTAGCTTAATATGAGCCAATCAAGTAGTAGATTTGAATGTTTCAGATTTAACCAATCAGGTTTTGAAATTGTCAAACAGCACTAACCTATATGAGATCTATAAGGAAAACAAATGTTGAAACCTAAGTAATCAACTAAATTAGAAATGAAATGAACTAAAAATAAAATGGACACAGTCTATGTGAAGCAGATAATTATTTTCTGCCATTATTGAAACAAAATGCCATTACAAAAGTTTACAGACTTTGTAATTAAAATTAACAAAAATATATATTGGTCACTTGGTGTTTTACTTTTAACACAGTATTTGATAAAAAACCAATAGCTCAAAACATCAAGAGGACTAACTGTTGGAAGAATTTATCAGATCTCACATTTGGATTTAGCTAAAATAAAATAAGAAAATGCATTTCTAATCAGCTAAGTTGTGGTCTTAGATTGGGACATACAGTAAACTAGGATTGATTAAAGTCTGTCAAGAAATGAATTCAACAGGTGCTGCCAGGATTTCTTCATATATTTATACACAAAATTTATTTTTTTTAATTTCATTTTAAATATACATTAGAAGAAGCCTCGTTACAGTCAAAAAAATTTAAATTGATAATCAAAGTTTCCTTAAAAAAAAAAAATCTTAAATTTTTTTTTCCCGGTATCTAATAAAAAAAAAAAGGAATTACACTCTAAGGGAGATAATGGTAGTTAAATTATGTATTTAGAAATGCCCATGTGAAGGGCAATAATGAAAGTCCAATGCTGTATTAACTGTTTTTCAAACTCTTGCAACTAGAACTACAAGCAATGCACATGATTCTCAACTTGAAATCAGTGAAAACGTCAACATAAAATGAAAACCCTGGTTTCAAGCTCATTCAAAAAATACAATCATGTATGGATAAAGACATCAGTAATGCCACCAGCATTTGTATTCAATTAAAACTAAATCCCTGAAGAGACTATGTATGTTTCATTAACCCCATGAATAATTTCCCCCGACAGATCTTTAATACATCCTACACACTATACACTTTTGTATAATGTATGACAATATAAAAGAGTTTTGCCATCTATGGTTCGTTTCAGTATTATTAATATGTATAACTGGTAAGGCTTAGGAATTGGTGTACAGTCACTTTCCAGGTAAAGGAAAGAATTGAAGTATCAAACATTGTGATAGACAAAGTCAAGTCTCATTTGTTTTTTTTTAAATTGCCCTGAGACTTCATTTAATTTGAAATATTTTGTTATACAGTACACAAAACCTTTAAGTCACTAATTGGTAATATTTGATCAAAGCCGAGGTTAAAGGAAATAATCAGTGCTAGCAGTAGTGACAGTTTCTATCCTTCCATCAATGTCACTTTATCAACAAGCGAGAGGCAGCTAATATTTAACTTCTCTCTTTTGGAAATGCAACAAAGTGCACCATTTGCTGCTCCAAATTTTGACCACACACATTGAGGTCTTCTTTGTTTTTCAGAGGAATTTAAATGAAACCATCTAACTACAGATTTGTCAATTTAGTTCTAGTATCAGAGGAGGCAAGCCAGCCATGTCAATGTGTGAAACAATTTCAGCTTGAATCTACCCATTGACACAAGAGTTTAGAAGACAACACACAATTTACATAAGGACAATTATTCCATCCTTGCATCTTCACAGAGATAAAAATTTACTATGTAAAAAAAAAAAATACTTCTTATCAGTTCATACTGTCACAGGGAAAAACATTTTGTAATTCTACAACAATTGCCCATTAGTGTACACAAGTGCAAATATCATACAAACATACAGGCAAGAGTATAATCTTTTTCAAACTCCTTGAAAAGTAAATTAATATCAATAACATTGCTAATATCCCATCCCATCCCATCCCTTTGAGGAAATTTAAACAGAGATTTTATTAAACAGTTTTTCTCCAGATGTCCATGGAGAGCTCTGTCCTACCATACAATTGCTGAGTATCAAAACAGATCATACCCTAAATCCATAAAAGTACTGTCACACGCTACTCAGCTCAGGAAAAGGTAAGCAAAAAGAATATTTTGACATTTCATAACAATACATACATACACCCATGTCATAGCAATAAGCAAATTACATTTTGTATACTCTACAAAAAATTAAATGGCCATGCCGACTGACACACAAAGAAAACACTGAAACCAATGGTTGCTGCGGTGGGTTAGGTAAATATACAAGCTTGGTAAGAAGAAAAAATTACACACCTTTAAGCACACATTCAACTAAAATTAAATGCATTCTTTATCGAGTTAAAATATTTATAGATCAACCACCATCATCAATTTAACTTAGAATTCAACCAAGGGCCCTAATAGCAAACAAAAAATTTAAGTCTGTGTGCCATTGTTCAAAGTCAAATAGTCATTGTCTTTATTCCGTTGTAGAAGTTGAAAGTTAAGATTTTGTCTTAGTAATATATTTGATGATTTTTGTACTTTTCGAGGTCAAACACACACACACAAAAAAGATGTCCTAATCTTTGAATTATTTGTACCACATATAAATTTCAGTATGAACAAGCTGAAACCAAACAAAAAAAGATCTGGCTTGCTATAAATTCACTGGTATGAGTCAATCTCCAATAGGAGTCTATTTACATCTCACAAGATTTAGACATTCTCAAGCATGCTTCGGGTAAACACTAGACAACAACAAAGAAAAGAAGAAAAGGTTCTAGAGAAACAGCAGACAAACAAGAGGCTTGAAATGTTGTCCCTAAGTTAAACAATGTCATGTTATTTCTTACCCAAGTATTTTTTTTTTAAAACTAAGTTACAAACAATAAAACTATAGATTCTCTATGACACAAATTTAAGAACTGAATTGCTTTAAAAGCTGGGTGATGTGTTCAGGCTACACATGTATACTGTATTGTTTCACACATTGTCATATCCACTGAGTCTAGCTTTACTCGTCTTTGTGTACTGGGGGTGTGGTTGGAGCAGGAGACACAGAGGGCCCTAAAGGGGTCCATTGAGGCTGACTGGTGGAACCTTGTATTCCCCCTGCTGAATTGAGGGTACTGGACTGTGAACTTGGGCCCCAAATATCAGCCATTGAAGTAAAAGGGTTGAAAGGTGGGCTGTTGGTGGTCAACTGGAAAAAAAGACATTTAAAAAAAAATAATTAAAGAATTAAAAAAAAAAAAATCTTTTTCTTCCCTATTAAAAGAGAAAACAACAACAACAATTAAAGAGTTTACTTAAACTCAGGGATAAGAATTAACTTTTTCAGACATTTATTAAACTCAATAAAAAGGATTTCCTTATCCAGACATTTGATCAATTTACTTTGAACCATTTAGCCACTAACCAATTGTCAGAGAAAGTATAGAACTCCTTATCAATCATTTAAAAAAAATAATTCTTAAAATAAATTAACAGAATGAAATAATTGAGAATATAGAAGAGAAAAAAAGATCTAGGTCTACAGAGCTTAAAGACATTAAAATGTCACATCATATTTGGTTTGACTAAATCTAACATAATCAATACTGGATCTTGAATGAATATGTTTATCATTTTCACTTCTAGACAACAATCAGTCTAAAGTGGCTTTAAATCACTAAATCACCCAAACCATTATTTGCTTATTCTACAACTGAAACATTAATATTCCCATTAAAATCATATTCAATTAAAGCCTAAAATATTGGCTAAATATGTTCCATTTTTGTAGTCTTTTAAAAAAAAAAAAACATTAAAAAAATCTTAAAAATTCATTCCACTATGCTACCTATACCAAATAAACACCTAATAAATAATTCTCTTAGGTTATTTGAAAACTAGCAGTGCGTACGTTAACAAAACAACCAAAAATCGTTGATTGCCGGCAACTCCTGGAGTCATAAATTATGAAATGGTAGAACTCAGATGATGTCACATGGCAATCTCCTAAATGTATATTTACTTCTTCAGGCTTAAGCTGATTTCACCAAAAAGACTTTATATATAAAACAAAATCACTGAAAAATATTTACATCACTAAAGACAGTTTAAAAAAAAATATTTGTAAAAAATTATTGTTAGTTTTTCACACTTTCATAGCTTACAAACCTACGGAGTAATGACAGCACTGATGTGACAAGACTGAAGTGAAATTTATTTGAAAAATTACCAGCAGAATAGTCATGGATCCTATGATATGGACTGAATGTATATTAGCAATAATAATAATGATAAAAAAAGAATCACTCAAGAAGTGCACATGTATCTTCTTCTAGCCAGCTTTTTGCTGCTGAGCTGTCAGCTCTTTTGCAGACTGCCAAGGAAAAATAGTGTATAGTTTTCTTCAGTTGTTCAGCACTGCCATACAGAGTGTTGGTTATGTTGGGCTGGAGTGGTAGTAGGGTCTGCCTAAAGTGGATTAGGAAGGGGCATTCAAAAAGTATATGGTTTACTGTTTCATAAGGGTGGGCGCAGTGTCTACAAAGGGGGAGTTGTGTGGGGTTTATTTTATTGAGATGATAATTTAACAGAGGTGTGTGTCCTGTTCTTAGTTGGAAGATTGTAGATTGCTCTTTACAGGGGAGGAAGTTAATACTGTCCAGTTTGTTAGGCATGTTCACTTCTTTGTACATGGCTCTGCCTGTGTTTCCTGCACATGTATCCAAAAATCAAGGGTACCAGGGTATAATTACATCATCTGCTGCCAAGGTAGCAGTTTTCAATTTACATTTATGATGAAAGAATGTTGAATATTAGATTTAATGTTAAATAAAACAAAAAAGAAGCCCCACCCTAACAATATACAAGACTACAGTTGCCAAGACTGAAACAAGTCTACTTCATAGACTGTATGAAAGGATAAAGTCAATAAGAGGAAAGAAGCTAATTGCTTTCATCTATCTATACATGCATGTTTTAAATGAACACAATTCCTATTTAACTCTTTCTCTCCTAATGGACGATACCATCGTTGATTTCACTTAAATTAAATTGATTTTTTAATTTTATAAACTTGGCTTTGTGTTCAATAAAAAGAGCACACATTTCACTTCATTTCTATATCAAATACAACACTTTCTGATAACAAACAAAAAAGTTATTAAAGCTTAATCATAACAGGTAGTGAAATTGTATTTAGCAAACAGCTGAAACGTTGAAAAATAATTACAGAGAGAAAGAGTTAAGACTAAGTCTATAATTTACTGACCAACCTGCTGAACAGCTGGTGTAGAAGACAGTGAGGAGGGTGTTGTGTTGTATCCACTACCACTGTGTTCAGGAGTGCTGCCCCAGATGGTAGCAAGTGACTGGAGTGAGGACCACCCAGAAGTGGTCAATGTACTCCAGAACCCCTTTGACAAAAATTATAACTCATCATTGTAAAAATAGAATCTAGCTAAGCACTGAGGGAATTATATACAAACTGTGCTGTTGTAAAACACAAGAAAAGTTTCTACATGTCAAATGATAAAACTTGATTAAAATCCAGTCTGGAGTTTTAATTGTGACAATCAGTGGAGTAAAACACATGTTACATAGTGCAATATTACAATCTATAATTGTTCATTCAATTGTTATTTGAAACCTTGGAGAAAGAATTAGTTTTCTAGTGCACTTTCTGACCCCTAAGTTTTGACATACTGGTATTATTTTGTGCAG